ATGGTGACCGGGAAGGCATAGTAATTCCTATAGTTGACCAAGTCCAAAAATTAAGGGACATTTAGAAACTCTGCTTAAAATACCCCATAGAGACCCGGGAGAGAACAGGCCTGTTCAAAGCGATAGATATTTGTATCGGAATGTATAGTGTATAGGTATGTATAGGACCCGTAGTTGGGATTTATGGTTGTTCTATAGGGATATCTACCCTTGATTTATTTGCTATTGGTTTCAATGAGGAAAATACACATAAATGTAGAAATTAGTTTTTCCCCCATAGGACCCCATAGGTTTTAATAAAATTTTGTCAAAGGTTTTATGGTTGTTCTATCGGTCTCAATAGGGAAAATGTAAAAGTTATGGTGTGCCTATAAGTAATTTCCTATAAATTTTCTATCGGGCCGTATCCGGAAAAAACTATGGACAAATGCACATATTGAATCCGGTAGCGCCCGATAGATTATTTTATATAGGTCTCTATGGGGTATTTTAAAAGGTCAGTTCGGTCTTGACACTCGAAGTGGATAGACGCGTCAAGTAGTTAAAGATTCCTTTCCTAGCAGCGTATACGAGAGAAACGTAATAAAGTTCCAAAAACGAACCTAAGTATTCGGAAATATCGGTAATCGGTAATAAAAAAAATAAATAAATAAATAAACAAACAAGTGCAGTGTAACAAATACAGTGAGTACAGACTACAGACAAGTGCAAACGAACATAGTGAAACGTTCAAAAGTGTTAAGTGACAAGAGAGAGTTAAGTGACAAGTGTCAGTGCCTGAGCGGTCGCACCATCTGTCAACAGGACGATTTGCACTGGCCAAACAAAAGAGGCCAAACAAGGGAGGAACAGGCCACCTGCAAATAAATGCTAAGTATCCTCATCCGCATGACCTAACATAATTTGCAAATTAAACTAAACAAGGCACATTGCCTAATCCCTACAAAAAAACAATATCATCGGCAACAAAATAAAATAAAAAGTCAATTTTCCAAGAAAAAAACAAAAAGCCGATCGCGGACACACACCAAAGTTGAACAGGGCAATAAAGCTGTCAACAAAACAATTTAAGTATAACAAACCGAGACCAAATAAATATGACACTTAAGACATAATTAACACATAAACTAAGAAAACATAAACAAAGTAAAAAAAGCACTCTAATCAAACTCCATAGAATTTGTAAACACTTTATAGTAAAAGTAAAAAAAATACCCCCCACTGGGAACTGCCTTATCGCATGAAACGTTAGCACAAAACATGCACTTCCCACAAATTAACAAGACCAGTTGGGAGCAACTATGCAACAATAAAAATAAAATAAAAAAAAACAACCGACACACTTTACCAAATTCAGGAACTATCCGACACGGCTAATGACAATAATGAACAAGACGAAGACCTCGACTAGGAAACTACACCCCTTCAGCAATAACAACTCCCCAACTCCAAATAGTAATCCCAAATGTTTGGAGTAATACTAATGGACTGGTCTAGGGGGATTCCGCGTCGTACTTAGTTTTAAGTCGGCGTAATTGTCCCCCAAAAACCAACATCTTCCCGTCCCTCCTCCATACCCCACTGAGCCTATAGCATAGGCTCGGCGAACCCGGGAATGGCTATTAAAACTATTCGCCTCTCGCTCTCGAGCCCCAAATAGGGGACAGTACGGAACGCAATGGACATTCGCACCCAACAAACACGGGTGAAGCCGTGCAGTTGCTGGGGAAGAACAAAAATCGGCGTAAGTAAACATAGGCCTGTACGGGGTTCGAGAGTCAAGAGGAAATGGGGCTGGTTATACGTCTCTTATACTCACTATACTCATACTCATACTCTCTATGGGGTATTTTAAAAGGGAATTCTTGGTTTTATTAAATTTAAATTAATTCTAAATGTCTCTAAATTTTTGGACTTGATCGACTTCTGCTTTGAGCAGGTGGATATATTGCTTTGATATTTAAGCTTCGCTGTAGTATTTCTACTTTCTTTATTGTAGGTATACCTACTTGGAAACTTTAGTATTAGCTAACTAGTTATGAGTATTAATGTATAATTATACTTAATTATATAAAGTTATTTATCGTTTTCTATAATACTTTTACATTTATACATGTAAGTAATGGTTTAGGGTATTAAATATATAAATAAAATTTTAAATGAATTGAAATGTTAATGAAAAAATTTGACAGTTCTTTCTCTACATAAATTAACTGGCAATACAACAGTGTATACTGATCTAACAAGCACCGGGGCAGCCGATCAGCTCGCACTGGGTGTTGGTCGCCTTCGACGCCCTATAAATCCACCATAAATACTAGCCACGCCAGAATTTAATAAAAATATATGACATATAATATATATGACATATAAGTTATAAATACTATTTATTCATTATGTCATATATTTTTAGAAGGGCAGCTTTTTACTTTTTTTATAAAGAATATAAAAAATGTCGAAGTTTGACAAAAAATTGTTTTAAAAATATAGGTACTACTTGATACTTACTACCGTAAAAAATGATTAATATTTTTTTTCTCCAAAAGTCCAGCCTTAAAATTTAATATTTGTATTCAGCAGCACTGACCACTAGTCCACCGTCGGCGGTAAGGTACCATATTGTACAACTACCCCACCAAGTTTCATAAAAATCGAACACATAAACATATATGCAGGGGCGTGCTGGGCCGCAGCGATACCGGGCGCATGCCTGGTGGCCTGCGCCACCATGGTGGTCTGCTGGACTTTTTATGGTATGCAAATAGAAAAAAGATTTTTATACCTACCAAACAAAAAGTTTTTTCAAGTTATATCACTAAACGCTATAGTATAAATATAAATTAAAAAAAAAAGAAAGTTTTAATCGACTCCCGTAAAAAAATCTAAAACACGTATTTTTATGCTAACCCTTAAACCAAGGCGTCGCAGGTGGAAACCCTAGAACGGGGGGATATTTTGGCTGCTTTCGTAATTATTTTTCCGTTTCTTTGGAAAGCCAAACTGATCCCCACTTCGGTAAAATGCAATTTCAGTCAATTTATAAATTATCGGTAGGGGGGATCAGCTCGGATTTATAGAGAAAGAGAAACATAATTACAAAAGCATCCAAAAAAGCCCCTCTCGCAGTTTTTGTCTTGATTTATTTGTGATAATACTTTCCTTTAATATGAGTAAGAATTCTTTTTAAGCTTCCAAATTTACGTCACTTAAGTGACGTAAATTTGGAAGCTTTTATGCTGATTGATGTGGAGAGAAAGGTAAAAAATGGTTTAGATAGTGACTTATTAATTGAACTAGTTGCGAAGAGAGTTATCACGGGACGTTTTATCAGCCGAGGTATTTAATTTTGATGCCTTTTTACAATTTATATAAAATTGGATTGGGCATGGACTGCTCTACCATCTAGTCCAGGCCTGCATTCTGCCAGCACCCCCTGTATATATGATATCATATCATATGATTTTTAGGCGGGTAGACTTGACGTGTTTTGCCCTATATATTATTAATATAAATTATATCATAATAAAATTAATAACTATCTATTATCCGAAATCGACAGTAAAGTAGTGAACAGTCGGCAATAAAGTAAAAGAAATTTGCAGTAAAGTAGAACTTTACTGCCGATTTAATACGAGTATTGTCTGCAACTCCTTATACATTTTAAGATGTGTCTACTGCTCCTCAGCAGCAACTAAATAATATTTTAAAAAAAGCAAAGTCGCGGAGGTTGATTGGACCCTTTTATAAAATGTTTAATAAAATAATAAGTTAATTTTATTAATTAGATTAAAAAATCGCCGCGGCGGGCAAATGTATAATAACCGTCGCAACAAACAGTATACGTAGACACTTCCTACATTCAAATGACATTTGATTTGATCATCAAATGACATTTGATTTAATCAAAAATATTAATTATTAGTAATAATAATTATTAAATGTGATTTCTGATAAAATTTAGCATGCACCTCGGCATTAAAGTCATTTTTTATCACTCACGTGGTTATTTGCCTCGGCTTTCGCCACATTCGTGATAAAAAATACGACTTTACTGCCTTGATACATAAATAACTATTAAATTACAAATTGTTGTTAAAACTAAACGCACAGATCATATATTAAATTTCCAATAGGAAATATAAAATAGTTTTGAGACTCATCGTGACTCAAAATTTGAGTCACGATTGCTTTTGAGTCATGGTTAATATTTATAATAATTATTTTAATGTATACTAGGTTGCATACAAAATTTATCTAAAAAAATATTTTACATCTAACATTGTTATAAATATAAAAAGTTTTTTTATTAAAAACGGACCATATGGTCTATATATATGGTATAAAGTGAGGTTTCTTCTGTTCCTGCATATAACATTATAAATAGTGTGCCTGCATATAACATTATAAGCCTGCATATAAGTAGTAAATTATTTAATATGACAAATATTATTATAATAATTTTATTTATAGCATTTAATGTAAAGCAGAGGGAGTATCTTGAAAAAAAGTAAATTGATTCTTAAAGTATCTAAGATACTTTATCTTAGATACTTTTTATATTGGACTGAAAGTATCTTTAACTTAGTTACTTTGGAAAAGTATCTTGTAACTTGTATCTTAATAAGTATACTTATTAAGATATATCTAAGTTAAGTACTCGGTAAAGTAACTAAGATACATTCAAGTAACTTAGATAGGTACTATAGTAGGTAATTAGTTAAAATACTTTTTAAAATAACTTAGTTACTTAAAAGTATCTTAGTTACTTAAAAGTATCTTTGTTACTCAAAAATATCTTAGATACCTTCATATAGTTTCTTAGATACTTTCATAGAACTTTATTTTTTTTAAGTTTTTTTGTTAATGCAACTTGGTGTTCATGTGCCAGGAATTTATTTATTTGCGCTTGTGTGCGGTTCTGTATTCTGGGCTGCCTATATCTCAAACGAGAATTTTTACGCGCCTTGTCTTTGCGCATGTGCATTTTGACATTTGTTAAAGGCGATTCCTACTGAAAAGTCATTTAATGTCTTTTATTAGATAAATTTAAGGCAAAGTCATAGGAATGTGCGTTAATTTGGTTTAATTTTGGTGCTTAAGTGTTATGAATATATTGTCAATATTAGGAGAAGAAATATTTCCAAGTTGTATTGTTCAATGACGTTTAATGTAGTGTCCAGTTACAATAAGGTTAGTTTCGATTTACTCATGTCAAAAATACCTATATTTATAATTTTCTCGAATGTATCAAATTAATACGGTGATAATGTAAAATCAACGTAGTCGTTCTATTTTTGTGAGCGTGTATAATGTTAAAGGTCTGTTGAAATTAGTTTCAAATGCATTTCAGGTGATTTCCATAACAATTATTTTTTATTGCAGGTGTTGTAGCATCTGTCATTGAATAAAAACCTCAAAGCACTTAAGGTAAGAGAAATTTATGTAAAGTTTAAGTGAATTTAATGTAAATAATCGGATTTTATTTAAATAATTAGGGTCAATAGGTAATTTACCTAAATTATTTCTGGGACAATTTTAGAGCACTTCCTTTTCAAGCAAGTTTGTTTAATATTTTATAAAAATAAATAAATAAAAATAGGTAGGTAATAAAAAACAAGCTACATTACATTTTACAAGAATGCTATAATTTTTCCTTCCAATATACATAAGACTGGCCATTATTTTTAAATTACATAAAGAACTGTTATAATTTTGTAAAGTTTTAAATATGACACTTATTACAACCATTAAATATTAGAGACCCTTCAACCAACAGAGACCAGACACGATTGTCAATTTGTCTTGGTAATATTTTGTTGTTTATCGTTGGCAGTGCTGCCAGATGGTTTTTTCCTTAAGCAGTAGATGGTACCACTAAAAAACGGTAGAAAGCGGTAGATTGTTCAAAATTCAAATTTTTATCAGGATTCGAAAAGAATAGCGTAATAAATTGCAAGAAATAAAACACATAAAATACAAAAATCATTTAATTTATTTTTCTTTTGAGCAGGCGAGTTGTACTTGTACTTTCTCTGTCAGTTGCTTCGTCTGAACTAGATGTTGGACTTAAAATAAAAGCAGTAGTAAAGTTATAGCTTATAAAACTGAAAATATTCATACCTCATTTTAAATTATGCCCTAAATAAATACTATTAAGAACACACAAAAACTTTATATGCTTGATCACTGCTATAATTATATTTTATGAATGTTAAAATCTAATCTATGGTTAAAAGAGGAGAAATGGGTAACCTGTTAAGCGGTAAAGTCCCCACAGTAAAGCGCCATCTAGGAAGATATAATTTTACTAGTGTACGTTCCGAACTAGAAGTTATAACTGTATACAGTTTTCTTTTCAATAGACGTAATCCGAATAAATTGTCCATGCTAATTTTTAAATTTAGTTAGTCTATGCATTGTACGATTTTCAAAAAATTACAAGGAAAAGACGGTAGAATACAGTGGCTAAGCGGTAGATCTACCGTTTAAACGGTAGGTCTGGCAGCACTGATGGTTGGTACATTTTCAATTTGATTTGTCACATTGGGTCAAACAAATATCAGTAACGTCATTGAAATTATAATACCTAATCATAATGTTGTTTAAAATACCCCTATTATAAAATATATCAAACAATGTAACCTGTAAAATTAAAACTGTGGAAAAAATATCCTATTCATCTAAATAAAAAGGGTAGAACACATTCTCTGTTTTTCTGGCCAAGTGGCTTAAAACACAGATTAAAAAATGCAGAAGAAAATAGATGTCTGAACTGTGACATTGACAACTGTGTCAAGTCTCTGTTGTTTAAAGACACACTAAAAAGTATGACAGTAAAAAATTACTTTATATGAAACTAATGTTTCAATAATATAAATATGAAATTTAGTCATGAAACAATTTTCCATGTACATATATACTTTTTATTACTAATTGCTTAAACACTATTCAGAGTGCTTTTTATTACATTTCCTTTGTTTCATTAAATAGGTATGCTGAATAATTGTGGTCTAAACTTAAATTTAATTTTTCCAATTCCAACAATTTAATAAAAATAAACTTGAAATTAAAAGGGGTGATTGCCCGTGATTGCCCATTCGTAAAATAATATTAAGTAACTTTTTAAGCATTCGGTTGATCCAAAGTTTGATCTTGTTAATTTTTTGTTGTATTAAATGTTTTAAATAATTTTCCTATTTGACTATTCTGATTAAGATAAAAGTTAGATAATTATTCATTATTAATAGAAATGTAAAAAGGTTATTTTTGAACTTTGATAAAAACATAAAGAAAACCTTTTTTTTACAATGCAGTATTCTGTCAATAATTAACATGGATAATTAAAAAATGGAGTATTTTAAGGAGGGTCCATGTAACAATTGTTATCTCATGTGTACCTAGTGCATGATAAACTCGCTAAATAATTTTCTTAGCATACCATGTCCATGTTGAGTACCATGGAGCCTACACAAGGAGCCCGAACTTAATAGCGGAAATTGACAAAACCTGCCTTTATTGCACAAATTAAGTCTTTTTTTTCACCACCAGCGGCGCTGTTTGTCGATGCGAACTGCTCTTTTTGTAGCGTTTCGAAACAAATTAGTCAATTGTTTCAGAACAAACGGAACACCAGCGCCCTCTTATCTTAGGAAGATTTTTGTTTACATGGAGTTCGGACTCCTTGTGTAGGCTCCATGTTGAGTACATTCAATGAATTTTGGTGATGACGCGTAGATTTATGAAACATGATGCAATTGCAATTGTCATGATGTGAACTTAAAATTATTGAAGTCCCCAATGATCATGGAATTATTATAGCAAGAATTCCAGAAAAATCACAATATTACAGAATGAACTTATCTGGGAGATATTATATTTAATTTTACATACCTAATTGAAAATATTGACTGACATTAATTTTTTATTATTTAGTAGTTTCAACACAAGAAAATCATATATGGGTTGTGATATTTAATGAAAATTAATAGAATGTAGCAAGGAACTCAAAAATGTATTGTAGGTTTTTTGTCGGTATTTTTTATTAAATTATTTGCAAATATTCGTTATATAAATTCCCAAACTTTTGACTAAAATATACGGAAATTTTATTCGAAAAAAATCTTTGCTTGTTTGGATTAATTAAATAAAGAAAGTTTCCAATGGCAAAATGTAGCTACATGCCTAGGCATATACTAACTTTTAAAAAATAACAAATAAACGAATGTTTTTTCACGTAACATTTGAATCCCCCATTATAAGAAACGCATAAAGATAAACCGCCCTCTAGCGGTGCATTTTCTTATTAAATTATTTGCAAATATTTGTTAAATAAATTCCCAAACTTTTGACTAAAATATACGCAAATTTTATTCGGAAAAAATCTTTGCTTGTTTGGATTAATTAAATATAGAAAGTTTCCAATGGCAAAATGTAGCTATATGCCTAGGTATATACTAAGTTTTAAAAAATAACAAATAAACGAATGTTTTTCACGTAAATTTTGTGATTTATTAGGTATTGATGATATAGGCTTATATATATATATATATATATGTTGTAACAATTAGTTTTTATTTAATTCTAGATTAAAAATGGCAGTTAAACAAAAAGTAAGTGAGTGTGTGGACCCTTCTGCCGAGGCAAGGCTCCAAACAATTCTGCGCGCCTTGCAAGATATCCGAGCTTGCAGCAGCATAAATGAAAAGACATGGGTGAACATTGTCTCATCATTGGGTACTGTATTGATACCATCGGACCCAGTGGAATACAAAAGGTTTATAGGCGACATTGAAAATGTTTTAGATATATTGGCCAAAGAGTGTTCCAGTCAAGAATTGATTTTTTTCACTTTAAAATCATTTTACGATGAAATATCTAAACCAGAGAAACAATTGTCGCCTGTTATGTCTATTGTATTGCAACTTATGGATGTGGAAAATATACCCACCGCTGTAAAGTACATACTAAACATGGGATATCATGAACAAAGCCTAGAGAGGGCGCTGTATACCTTGTGCACTTGGCTGAAAAAATGGACCTGGACAAAAAACTTGGGTCCTTTAGTTCTGGCTTTTATGAGGGGATTGGAAAACGAACACCACTACGATATACTTGTTGATGTTACAGTGGCAACAGTAGACCAGCTTTTTTTGCTTCTAATTTTACCGGATATTCGTAAGAGTGTCGAGCCTGTAGTTTTCTACATGCTGTCCAGAGTGCAGCACAGTCCGCAAGCGTTCCACAAGATCGCTCCACACGTAAAGAACGTCATCGAAATGTTGGAGCGGGAAAACAGCGAGAGCAGTCGCGAGTGTCTCGCCAAAGTTGTTCGTCTGTGTGTTGAGTTGATGCTCCACTTCCCGGGATACGCGTCTCTCTACGAACCGCTCAAGAAAACTCTTCATTCCTACTACTCGGAATCCAAACACCAGCATTTCCTCGATTGCAAATCCTGGTCGGAAGGATCGGGCACCGTCGTACCCAGTCGCTGTTTCTCTGGCAAAGTCGGATTAAATAATTTGGGTAACACGTGTTACATGAACAGCGTGTTGCAGGCTTTGTTCATGACGAAAACGTTCCGTAATCGGATTCTGCTGAACGATAAGGAAATGATGGCACTGTTCTCCAAGCTACAAGTTCTTTTCGCACTTCTACAACATTCTAAAAAGTATTCGCTTAGTCCAAACGATATTTTAAATTTGTCGCGCCCGCCTGGATTCGTTCCCGGTCATCAGCACGACAGCTCCGAGTTCTTGGGATATCTGTTGGACACTTTACACGAACAGGAGAAGAATTTATTTAGTCAACCAGAATTAGGTATTTATAAAAAGTTTTGCCTCTTCTTAAGACAAATACCTATTTTATGTTTAATTTTTTTTTAGTAAAACTTTGTGGACGGGGTAAACCAAAACTTGGCGTTGCAAGTTGTAACGGAAACGGCGCGTATTTAGGGTTGGCTTTTTAATTTTTCTGGACTTTTTTATATTGTTGAAAAAATGTTAAATTAATCTTTTAATTTTACCTAAAAAAACAAACTATTAAATTAGTCTTCAATCTTTATTAAACTACATACAACTAGTTTAAATAGTTAATCTTCTTATATTTACTTAAAACAATTAGCTTCTAGCTCAAAGGCTTTTCATTGAGGACTTTTCAAATTTCGAATTTGCATAAATTTAAAAAATAGTGGGACAAATTCACACAGTATTTAAAAATTATGAAATAATCTGTCTGAAGTATTATTAAATATTCATCAGAATTTTTTTTAAAATAATCTATATTGCCCTAACCTATACATGTTATAGTCATTTTTTTGAAAAATTGTTGCAAATGGAAATACGACCTTTTGAGAAATCACTCTTCAGATATGAAGCTCACGGTTCTGCAAGTAAATTTCGTACAGGGTGATATGTAGAGATGGGAAAATTCCCATTTGACAAAAATTCCCGGAAACTTTCCATCGAAAATTCCCGAAACTTTCCGAAAGTTTCAAAAAAAAAATTTTTATTGCGACTATTTCCCTCGTCTTAATTTCCACCAATCACAAACGCGCAATTTTGAATTACAAATGGTTTCTAGGTGAAAAAACTGTGTGACAGCACCTGTCAGCAGTTTATTCGAGTTTACCCGCGGCAAAACTTGACAGCTGTTGTCACCAAAAATTGCAATTTATATTTTAATTGTTAACTGTTACTCAGGAAATAGTCTTGTCAAATACCATTCGGGCATCTAATTTTTCCTGTGAAAAAAATCGAAAAAACACAATGCTAAGTAATATTTTTTAACAAAATGCATTCGTGCAGGTGCAAAAATCCTCCTCTTCGACTCGGATTTTTGTTGCCACCAGCACTCATGCTTTTTGTTAAAATATTACTTAGCAACGTGTTTTTTCGATTTGCAAAATTATATAACACATTAAATTTTTGTCAAATTTTATTAAGAAAAAAATAAAATAATGTAACTGCAATACTATTTTTAGTATCTTTTACTTTGGAATATTCCTATTGCATACTAAAACCTACAAAATAAAAAAAAATGTTTACTATTAGAAATTCACTGCTAGTAAATCCTAGATATTACGTAAAAAAAATTAAAAGGGACAAAGTAACTAATATATAGGAATATTGAAAAGTAAAAAGTAAAGTAAAAAATAATTCAAACAGTAGATTTTTTTCTTGGCATTGTGCTATGCCTAAAAATAAACAACAAAAATATAAGAATGATTTTAACTTTGTTTATTGTTTTTATTTTCTTTACCTTTTTTTATTCATTGAGGTTAGGTAACATAACTTACATTATTTATACTTCTTATTCTGTTCTGCTTTAAATTAACACACATTAAATTCTTATTCAAAGTTTCTTGGCCTTGTATCATGGCCTTAACGAAAATCAGCGGTTAAAAAATTGACATTTAAATGAAAAAAAAACAAGGAAAGTTTCCAAGGAATGTTTCCAAGGAATGTTTCCGGTAGCTTAAAAGAAACTTTCAAATTGAAAATAAATTCCCAATTGGAAACTTTCCAAAGCGGAAAGTTTCCTTAAAATGGAAACTTTCCGATTCCCATCTCTAGTGATATGTAAAACGGTGAAAAATTTCAATAACTTCATCCAAGCCCCGTTTGAAAAAAGAAATATTTAGTATTTAGTATTATGTCTTACCTTGAAAATATTTTCAAATTTTTCGAATTGGAATCTTAGGAAAGAAAATATGATTTTTTTTCAAAAGAGTGCATTTAAGGGTTTTGATTTCAAGATGTTAATTCCCGTAGCTGCAGCAAAGTCTGGCATTGGTATTTTAATCATTTAAATGAAGAATGGAAGTAACCTGGGTAAGATAGGGGTAGGTAGGTAGGTAGGTATAACTTATGCAAAAAACTTCGAAATTTGGAAAAACACAAGCAAACTCAAAAAATCAAGAATATCCCTCATAATGCGTTTTAAATGTTTTTCAAGAACTAATTTTTATTTGATCCTCGATTTGATTATTCAGCGACATGATAATACCGTACTAAAGATGCAAAACACAGTAAAAAACCAGTAATCGTATTTTATTGAGACATTTAACAGACGGGAATTGTTTTAGAATCTTGATTCTTGCTGATTTTTATTTTATCTGAAACTTAAATTTGACAACTGAATCACAATCAGGATTCCAATTCGAAAAATTTGAAAAACTTTTTAAGGTAAGACAGAATACTTCATTATTTCAAAGTAAAAACGAGAAAAAAAATATTTTTTTACAAACGGGGCTTGGATGAAGTTATTGAAATTTTTCACCGTTTAACATATCACCCTGTAGGAAATTCACTTGAAGAACCATGAGCTTAATATCTATAGCATGAATTGCCAGAGGATGAGGCTAGCAAACAACACAGACCAAAATAAAATAGTTCATGAAACAAAAAAGTGTCGTTTTGAAAAAGAAATTGTGGCAAATTTACTAACTTTTTAAAATTTTCAAAATTTTAAGGAGGTTTGGGCAGTATATTGCAGGAAAAGTGGTAAGGGGAGTTGCTTTTTTAATGCATAAATAGCGATAGGTACCAACTTGAAAAACCAAATTTATTTTGTCATTTTAACACATTTCATTCAAAAAATTTTATTTTTATACAAAAGGCACTATATACATATTTATTGTAACACAAGAGCGTTAATTAAAAAACGTAAAATAGGATTTAAAAGCAACAACATTGCGAGTTGTGAATAGTTGGTTTCTATGGCTTTTGAAAGTGGCAGTGACAGTTCTATATGCAGTGTTATTTAAAATCTAAAAATGAGTCCACTAGGTAAGAAAAGGTATGGAAACAAAAAATAAAGCAACAGAAAACATACAGTATGTTGGATGCAGCGAAAGTCTAAAGAGAAGAGTAGAAAACAAAAAAAAGTAAATTATAAAAGATAGAAAAAGATAGAAGGATTATCTACTTATTAAAAAAAACTTGAGAACAATTTGCTTTAAAAATTAAATCATGGTAGTTACCAAATAAATCAAACCAAATATTTTTTACTCGGAAACTAGACGTTCAATCTTTCTAAAACTGTTAATGTCTTTAAACCTGAAATTTTCTCGACTAATATTGTACCCGAACCTCCTTAAAAATAGATTCAAAGCTTGAAAGCTTAACAAAGCTCCAAACTCTTATAAAAATTAGAAGCTGCAAAGTTTGGTTAAGGACATAATTTGTTTTATTTTTTTATATTTCTCATACCACAAGCCGATTGTTTTATAGAAACAAATGTCACAATTTCTGATGTAACTGATCATTAGAGATGGGATTTTAGTATAATAATAGGCAATAACCTATATTTCTGCGCTAATTAGCGTATAATTAATGATAACTTTAGGTGCAATGGAATAAAAGTACGTTTAAAAAAAATTATTTCATTTGACTCTGATATTAATTAACTATTTTACCTAAATTTTAATTTTTAAGAGAAATAAATAATAAATAAAAAAGCGTTTATTTATCTCACAAAACAGGGACATAGTCATAATTTACCAACTAATACATATTATATACTAAATTAAAATATCACAAACATCTCAGATTAGCTATTTGTGTATTAAGAGGGCAAAGGGGTACATACAATCAGGCCAATTCACTAACATGAGTCGTTAACGTTAGCCACTAGATTTAGTGGTTATCGTTATATTTAAACGGCCTGATTGGTAGATATGCCCGATAACCACTGATTCTAGTGGCTAACGTTAAAGACTTATGTTAGTGAATTGGCCTGAATGTCACTTTGCGCTGGAGTTACACACAGGATTTTTTCTACAACAGGTGTTTCTACAGTGCTTGCAAATCCAAGTCCGACCGGGTTGGGAAGGACGGTTGTTCAATACCCGCGTGAAATAAACAAGGATAAAACGCCAAACAGAAGGCGCTTACAATACGCACGCCTGCCGGCTCTGACCAACCAAATTCTGTTTGGCGTTCTATCCTTGTTATTTTTACGCGGGTATTGAAAACCCTCCTTCCCAACCCGGTCGGACTTGGATTTGCAAGCACTGTATAAGAATGTTTGGTAAAAATTAATAATTATTGATAACCTCAAATTTGACTTTGGTGTCAAAAGTCGCAAATACACTAAACGTTTCTATATTATGGTTTTCATGTAAAAAAACGCTCTCTTTTCCGAGGAAAAGTTCAACTTTGCGCTTTCTTTTGGATGCGCAAATTTGTACTTTTCGATTGGTTGTAGAAAAATTATATTATGTTTAATATCACATGGGGAACAGTGAAATAATATTTTAGTTTCAGTTGTATTTATATTATTTATTCTATATAATTGCTTTTTTTATTCTCTTATACGGCTCGCAGCAGGCTATTACTTTTGTTCGATGCCTAAAATTTTGAGGTGTTAGTGTTAGGCAATTATTGGAACTGGTTATTTATTTTAGTTTCGTTCGTTAAGTTTTAAACTTTTAATTTTGTTGGGGCTGGCCTCTTAAGCTTATGCTTATTTATGTTTTGAGACGTTCTTACCTAATGATTGGTTTATTTACACTGTTACGCTGATTTCAGTAATAATAATTGATTATTATAAGGTTTTTGTGGCGAATTTGCGTGTAAGGTCATCCGATTGATTAGTACTTACCAGATTTTTGCAGATGGTGGCCCCTTCCACTCTTGGTTAAATTTTACATAAGGTGATTTATATTGGCCTGGGGTTAGATCTCTAAGTATGCTGTCACTTATCACCTAATTACTTCCGTGTTAGTATAGTCTTTATTCACTTGTTAAGGGTTGCTTTTTAATGTTTCTATTAACAACAGGTGCACTGATTTTTCTTGCCCAGGTAGTAAATCTTTGCACTAATTTCGCACACTATTTTTCTACACTGTATGAACATTAGCGATCAAATTCGTTCGAGAGCACGTCTGCTCGTCTGCCCGTATCGTTACTGACGAAGGAAGCAAACTGGAAAAATTGGGAAAAACCTGTTTTTTTCCCAGGCCTTGGAAAAATTGTCTTTTTTGGGAAAAATTAATTATTTAGAAAAATACTCCTTTTCATAAAAGTAGCAATCGAGAACTTATTTTAATTTAAAAAATTATCCTTTATTACAGAAAAAAAAAACAAATAAAACTAACCAATGGATTTAATTTAATTGTTTTGAGAAAATAAACGTAAACGTTAAAGATACCGTCGGTTGGATCCTTTTTTTAGAAGGGTGTTCATTGAAAATATTCATTTAATGATGAATGATTTAAGTTGAATTATAATTTTATTAATCGATGTCCAATAAACCGATAATTATGTTAATACAAAACCGAATATGTTTTTTGCGGCCCGGTAGAATAATTATTATAAACATAATAGAATAATATAATATTATGATTAGGTATAATCAGAGTCGGAAATTCACATTTTTGAAAAATGATTTTTCTCGATATATTACTTATCCGTTAAAAAATTGAATATTTTCAGCAAAATTGACTTTTTCATATTTTTCGTATTAATTAAGGGTTGCTTTTTAATGTTTCTATTAACAACAGGTGCACTGATTTTTATTGTCCAGGTAGTAAATCTTTGCAATAATTTCGCACACTATTTTCTTTAAACAACACTGTATGAGCAATTTTCATGTTTCTTTAAGACTTATTAGCGATTATTAGCGATCAAATTCGTTCGAGAGCACGTCTGCTCGTCTGCCCGTATCGGTACTGACGAAGGAAGCAAACTGGAAAAATTGGGGAAAACCTGTTTTTTTCCCAGGCCTTGGAAAAATTGTCTTTTTTGGGAAAAATTAATTATTTAAAAAAATACTCCTTTCCATAAAAGTAGCATTCGAGAACTTATTTTAATTTAAAAAATTATCCTTTATTACAGAAAAAAAACTAACCAATGGATTTAATTTAATTGTTTTGAGAAAATAAACGTAAACGTTAAAGATACCGTCGGTTGGATCCTTTTTTCAGAAGGGTGTTCATTGAAAATATTCATTTAATGATGAATGATTTAAGTTAAATTATAATTTTATTAATCGACGTCCAATACAAAACCGAATATGTTTTTTGCGGCCCGGTAGAATAATTATTATAAACATAATAGAATAATATAATATTATGTTCATAATCAGAGTCGGAAATTCACATTTTTCTCGATATATTACTTATCCGTAAAAAATTGTATATTTTCAGCAAAATTGACTTTTTCATATTTTTCGTATTTGCGACACACTGTATAACAATATTGTAACCGTCTTTTGTTAATTTTAGATGATAGCATGACTGGTATAGTTCCTACAATGGTCCAAGAATCGTTTGGAGGCAAGACAGGGACAGTGTCACAATGCGACGAATGCCTGACGAAAAGCGAGCGGGGCGATAACTTCCGCGAGCTGCAGTTGTCTTTTCCGCCCAGCATCTGCGAAGACCAGTCCGTGCAGACGCTTCTCCACTACTATTTGCAACCGGAAAAACTGAGCGGCGACAATCAGTATCACTGTGATAATTGCGGTCGGCTGACGGACGGTGAACGCGTCACCAAAATCATCGACCCCCCTCAGAGGCTCGTATTAACCTTGAAACACTTTCGGTACGATCCTGCGCTACAGCAGCGCACCAAGATCCTGCAGAGAGTGAAGCTTAATAGCCATCTGCAGCTAGAAAATCAGCAGTACGAGTTGTACGCTGCTGTGGTACACTGTGGATCCAGTGTGGATTCCGGGCATTACTACACGTTTGCTAGAGACGGCTCTGACTGGTATAAGTTCAATGATTGTTCTGTGATGAAGACCACTGGAGAGGATCTGTGCAAGCTTAAGCCCCCAGAAACCCCGTACATTTTGTTTTATGTGCGCCAGGATTGCGTCGAACCGGAAAATTTGCCCTGCGCCTTGCTCTCGAGCAGGTTGCAGTCGGCGTTGTCTAAGGACCTTTTAGAGTATGAGACTGACAAGAAGAAACCACTTAGAACGTACAACACCAGGCAAAATAGAAACGATGATCCCCCGCCACCTGGTTGTGGAGGGGGTGGCTTTAATACCAACAACAGTAATATGTTTGTGTGCTAACTGTAATATTTATGTAAATGTAAATATATTTTGGTTTTTGAGAACAGTGCAGTTTTTCTTAATGTTTAGTAAGAATTATTTATTATTTTGTAAAAATTTCATTGCCAAAGACTTTGTTAAAATTTGATTTTTTACATCATACACATTTTCAGTCGCTACTGAATCTAATAATAAATTGCACATTTCAAAAACCAAGCCAACCGGATTTGGTAATTATTATATTAGCAAATTATAGTATTCAAATGTTATTTTAAAAAATCTACTTAATGATGTTTTTCATCTAAAATCATCTATTGTGATATTGTACATTTTTTAGATTAAAATTATTTATTTTGAAAAATCTGCTTTATCACCATATTTAAGGATAATATACAAAATATGTATTATCATAATACTATTATGTGAAATATTTTGTTTTTATGTTAAAAATAAAAAACCTTTTTAAATTTCTTACAACTTATATTTTGACTTAAAATACCTTTACTTTTTAAAAACTGTACAGAATAAATAAATTATGTTAGGTGAAATTAAATTAATAAACCTATAATTAGGCAAATTCTAATGTAAATCAAGCTTTAAGTAAAGTAGTTAAATTAATGATTTTTTACCATATACCTAACACAGTGCAACGCAAAATTTTAAACCAGAATAACTTGTGTTTTCCTGAAAGTATACCTAAATATTTAATAGTAAAACCCTCGCTGGATTTGTTAGCTCGATTTTTTTCTATTGTCTTATTAAGGTCTTGAGTTTTAGGTTACTAAGTAATTGTTAATTGACACCTTAAATTTTGCTTAGATTAAAAATTAAATAATTTGATGTTTTTTATTCTGATTCTTTGAAAAAAAGGTTTTTATTTTTAAAATTTTGTTTTATTTGTGTTGTCTTTTGTTTTCATAACATTTGATTTAAACAAAATTAGTACAGTGTGTTTCATTACTTTAGTAATTTTAACAAAAACACTTAGTTATACTCTTTTGTATAATAATTATTATTGTCAAAACTAAGGAATTCTAGGGATATTTTTAACCAAGTTTAGGGATTTTTAAAGTAACGGTCACTGACCATGTTGGCAACACTGCCTAAAATAATGAAATAATTATATTTACACCTAGTATGTAGGTACTACATAACAAAAAAAGAATATGGATTTCAAAAGATAAAAAAAAAATTGATTATTATTTTAAGTCGGAAATTTAAAAGATATAATAAAAATAGCCCTATTAAGTATAACGTTTAATAACGCAAGTAATACACACAAATTTGATTTATTCCCTAGGGCTAGAAATTAATTTGTTATGGTCTTAAATTAAACAAATTAATATTTAGTAAGTTAGACTAAAGGAAGGGAAAAAAGGCAACTTTATAAGAACAAAACTAAATTTTATTGCATTAAATATTCATAAATATAATTTATTTTGACTCTTCAAAAACAGTCCGGTCGAGAAACATCAACTACATTGCCAAAAGAAAGATTTGTAAGCGAAATTTGTCGTACCTACCCAGCAAACTAGGCTGTTCCATTTACATAGCCATGATATAACTAACAAAGAACATTGCCATATAAAATTGTTTACATAACATTTACATATGTATATATATATTATATATTAATATATATTAGTTCTTTATTTTGTTACATAATTATGATAAAACATATATGTTTACTATATATATACTATAGTAATATAACATTTATCAGCCATATAACAATGTTATATATCTACAATGGAACAATGATACATAATTGATATATGGCAATGTTTTATAGTATCCAATGGATACTATCCATATAACCTTATTATATGGTATTTACATAGTTTTTCTTTATTTTGTTACATAATTATAATAAAACATTTTAATATAATAGTTATATAAAAATGATCCGTTCTTGTTATATTTACATCCCTACTATGTCATGGCTATATAACAATGTTTTATACCTACATTGTAACAATGATATATAAATGTTATATATTAATGTTTTATAGTATTTATATAGCCTTTTTATCTTACCAACGAACTCGTTTAAACGGTCGCGTGCTCTCTAGAGAACTTAACTTAAAACACAATAGCTATTGTGTTTTAAGTTAAGTTAAATTTGATTCCATTGTTTTATAATAAAATGGAACAAAAAAATTGAAAAAAAAATATAATTTTCTATCCCGGAGGCAAAAGCGGAGGAGAATTAATGCAGATCTTAAAATAATGGGCGTGGAGGTAAGAAATTGTATACAAAATACCCAAGACAATGTGGAAAGTGCACCTTTGCCAGAATATACTGAGGCTAAAACCGAAGTATTATCTTCTCCTAACCAGCCAATAAATAAACAGCTCAATAAAAATATTTTTACAGAAAATTTGGGAGAATAGATCATCAGCTGTTAAAAGTTTTGAGAAAACATATTGCAAAAAGAAGTAGAGGCTGAATTTGTAAGTAGGTATATAAAGGGCCATATATTTTTTGAAGTATTAATGTATTTGGGTATTTTTTATTTGGAAAATTTGAAAAACTTTTCGTTTGTAAAATTAAAGTGATTTTTTCAATTTTACAATCTTTCAGAATCATTTATTTCTGCAATGTTTACTTATTATTTATATAATATTTATTTATAATTTATTTAATAAATTATCTTACTGGTATTAACAATTTCTTAGTTCTAATTTATTATTATGGCAATTTTAAAATTTTGTAGATTTCTTTTCAAAAAATTTGCCATAATACCAAGTTAGGGCTAAGCAATTTTTAATACCAGCTGGTATTAAAAATTGCTTAGCCCTAACTTGGTATTATGGCAAATTTTTTGAAAAAAAATCTACAAAATTTTACTATAGTAAGATAATATATTACATGAAATTATATTTATAAATATTTCATAAATAATATGTAAATATTGCATAAATTATATATAGATAATAAGTAAATATTGCATAAATAATATGTAAATAGAATGCAACATTTATGTAAATAGAATATAATTGTTTTATCACGTTTACTGTGACATGATTTGGTTTGCTGGGTACTTTCTATAAATTTATAATAAATTACCCAAAAAAATCGATCCAACAATTGTTGGTTTAAACCCAATGAGGGTTTTTTTATTAAATAAAATTTGACTAATTTCTCGCACAAATTTTAACTATAGCTATATATATTAAAAAAAATCGTAACCTGAAAAGTTTTCGACGGATCCGGCACGCCCACATACTTCCACAAATATGTGTTGAAGTATGTGGGTCCGCCCCGAAGCAACTTTTCCCCAAATTTGGTCGAAAAATCCCCAATCGCTGAAAAGTAAGCGATTTTCGTTAAATAGCTCAAATTAGACGGAAAATCGAAAAAAATAAACTTGGGCTTTTTCGGCACAAATTTGCTCCTCAGATTGGTCTCATTGGCACAAAAAAGGATACAAATTTGGATCTTCCACCTTTAACGAATTTCGAGATGCGGGGGTTAAAAAAAGCGATATATCGTGTGTATACGCAGGCCAACAGACAACATAAAAAAAGTTGTTCAAATGTTTTGATCGACTCACTATCAAATTCTAAACAGCTTGTTTTTTGTACATTTATAATTTAAATTTAAACGTTAAAATAATATTAATTTTCCCATTAAACGCAGTTTCCCATTACTTCTATGTTTTTTTATTTGAAGAACTACAAACCTTAAGGTTGGTTAAATTAGAGAAAAATTGCTAAAAATTTTTATTGATTCTCAAATTATTAAAGGTAAATATATACAGTGTGGCACATTTAAGATGGAAACACCCCCGTAGCTTTTGTAGTGGTAACTCAATTTTAATGAACAAAGGCTCAAAAGATAGAGCATAAAAACTCTGCAAGCTGTAAACAAAAATTGTTTTCAATGTCACCCGACATATGCCTAGTATGAATTTTATTCTATGTCAAAATTCGAAAAAAATGACCCAGGTAGCACAAGGTGACGAAACTGTGACGATTTGTGTCCACAAATTGTCACGGTTTCAGAGAAATCTCTGGGTACTGGGTATAAATAATTAGGTACAATTTAAGACAAGTTTATTCCAGTGGCGGCTCGTGGGTGTATAGGAGCGTGAGGCTATAGCCTCACGCTCCTATACACAGTATTAATACTCTCCACAGTATAGAGGTCGTAATTTCACTTTTGAACTAGTATTAATTAATTTTAAAATAAAAACTATTTTATGCTTAAAAAAAAAACTATATACGACATGATTTTTTTCATTTTATTAATTAATTAAACTGTGTTGAAAATTTTTCCTAAAGGAATAATTGCCAATGGGCCATTAATTCATTTGTTCGTAGATGCTACAATAACCTGCACTGGTGTATACTTTTTGATCAACCAGATTTAAATATTGCTTCCAGTGGAGATGTGCAGAACCTACGAACAGACCTCATTACTAAATTATTAAAGTTTATTAATAGCATATCGATCATTTTTTCAACATAACCTCTGAAATTTTTAATACAAATATAGGTACTTTATATAATACATGTATTATATAAAGTACCTATATTTGTATGCATAAATATACTTTACATCATATCCTCTGTGCTTTACATACCTGAGTTATAACGGTAAATAAAAATCAGACAAAGGAACCAAAAAAAGGAATTATTTTCAACAAAATCATATGCAGAAATGAGAATAATCAAACTACTTGCATCCATCAAAAGATCAAAACTTCTTGCAATATTACACCCTCTTTTTATATATACTATTCTAGTCAATATTTCTGAGAGTATACTCTCAGAAATATTGACTAGAATAGTATTAGACCCAGATAACATTTATGAATCATTAAAAAATCACTCAGTGATAATCATCGCGTGAGCTCACAGTGAACTCACTATGACATCAAATGCATTTCTGTGAATTCACCTGGACCTCACCTGGAGCTCATTAGCTGAATCATTGCTGAGCTCATCCTGAGTTCTTGATGTGATCATTTGTGAAATTAATTTTAAAGTTTAACGGTTCGGCAATATTCGGAATAAATCCTCGATATATCGGGCATATATGGGCAAGTTGGTAAAATATCATTGTGGTGCCCTACTTTATAGAGATATTACATATCACAAGAGGTAGTGCCCTTTTTTATCTCTGGTAGTGCTGTCATAATGTCGTATGTAACGGTTTTTTTTAAATAAATTTGAGATTTTTCTGCAATACAGAATGTGCATTAGTATTATTTTAAGTGTTTTGGTTTTTGTTACACTGGGGTAAGTAGGATTTTAAATATTATTTTGTATTTGACTACCTACTCGATTATGTTTTTGTTACCTACGCTTAAAAAGTTAGGGATTCAATCTTATTTTTTTTGCAGTCATAAATGCATGTTACTTTAATTTAATTTCGTGC